AAAAAAAAAATCATTTCATTAGAAATTCATAAAAATATTGAACAATAAAATTTATAATAAAAGAATTGATCAAATAAAATATTTAAAAATATAATTACAAGTTGCATAAAATTAAAAAAAAAAATCTAATATTAATAATATATATAAAAAATTATACTTGTATATCGCTAGGAATCACACAAAGTACTATTATTTGCAATAGCAATTTGAGACTGCGAACAACAACAAGGTGCTACTGTTTGCAACCCAAAATTGTTGTTGCGAATAGTAGTTCGCTATTCGTAGAAACCTATTGTTAAAAAAAAAGGAAAAATATATATTACGAATATAAACATAAAAAGAATAAAAATCAAAATATATAAGTATTTATATGAATATTATGAAACATATACTACAATTTGACGATGAAAAATTTGCTTTATTCATGTATTTAGGGAGAATTAGAAAAAGTTAGGGATAAAAAAATTCATAGAAAAAATAAAATTCAATATAAACAAGAAATAATGAAGTAAAAGTAATTTTATTTCGAATTTTTAGATGAAGATTGTAAAGTTTAGGAGAGAAAGAAAAATTAGTAGAGTTTAGATATGAGGAAAATATAGGATAATGAAGAAAAATTTTTTTTATTGACTTTAGATAGGTTTATAAACTTTAAATAGAGAGGAAAAAATAGAGTTTAATTAGAGAGAGAAACGTTCAAAGTTGTTAGAAAGAAAATTTTGAAATCTTTGAGATTGATGGTTGGATTTCAACTATTTATATTTGAGAATGAAAAGTCTACAAAAGTCTTAAAATTAAAAAGTCTACAAAAGTTCATAATTTTTTAAATACCACATGAGTTTTAAAAACTCTTTAAAAGTCTTAATCGAATACAGACTCCTTAAAAATCTTGATTGAATACCGTCTAACTTTTAAAGACTCTTTATAAGTTTGAATTGAATACCTCCAAACTTTTAAAGTTCATAAAAGTCTTTAAAACTCTATGAAAGTAATAATTGAATACACCCCCTTTAATATATTACAACAAATTCATTCCGTGCATCGCACGGGCGCAAATTAGGAAAAACAAAAATAAAATTGGAGTCAATGACACAGTGAAATCAAATTTAAAAAGGATAACAGTGGTGTAAGATCAAATGTTGTTATGCTAGTATAGCAAAATATTAAACTTGTGAAATGTTTACTTTAGTCTCTAAATTATAAAAATAGTCAATTTAATTCATGTATTAATTATTAAAAATAGAACATTAAGTAAAATCATTGATGTCATTAAATATGCTTATATAGCTAGATGACATTAGCTACACAATTTGATGATGGTACCACCATATTATTCATTATTTCAACATAAAATGTTACTAACATGAACAGAATTTAGGATATTACCTCACAATGTTAGAACTATTACCAGATAGTATATGTTTTATATTTTCTCCAACTATTGTTGCCCAATGAGTCAATATTCCACCATCAGGGTTCAATCTTATTGATTTACTAGTTTTTTACGCGCATTGCGCGATTGGGATAATGCCCAATGTTTTTTTTTTTTTTTCTAAATAAGTACTTTAAAGTATATCAAGGCAAGATTATATTGAAATTGTTCATGCATAGATAATTGAATGTTAAATTTGCGTATTTAAATAGGCAATTTTAAGTTTACAATTGCAAGATAATATTGTCAAGATTAATTATAATTGTCAATAAAATAATTGTATAGATATGGTTGAAACCAAACACGGGATAGAAGGGAGAGCAAATAAAAATTATGGCATAAAATATTAAATATATACTAATATTGAAGAGCTAACTGCTCATTGCCAAACAAGGACATTGCGAGATAGTTTCCCACTTTAATTTGTTGTGTGATTTTTTTTTTTTGAATGCAATTTGTTGTGTGATTTGAATACTCTTTTGTCAATAAATCTGCCAAGTAGTTAATATGATCGGCTTAATTTTATTTTTTTTATTTTTTAAACAATTATTATTATTATTATTATTATTATTATTATTATTATTATTATTATTATTATTATTATTATTATTATTATTATTATGTATACCCTTACAGGGTGTTTGGTTGGAGGGGGAATTATGTGGGAAAGGAATTGTAATTTCATGGGAGTTGAATTACTGGGAATAAAGTGGGAATTTAAATTCCAGTGTTTGGTTGACAGGAATAGAATCACTGGGAATTTCAATTCCAATGTTTGGTATACATGGAAATTGAAAGGGAATAAGTAGTATAAAGTCAAAAATGTCCATTATTGTTGTTAGACATTAATTTTAGGTTAAAAAAGTAAGGGGTAATTTTGACTCATCACTATCTTTTTTTCCCAGGAATTAAAATCCCAGGGGGGACATGGGATTTTAATTCCATGAAAATGGGGGAATTGCAATTCCATGGAATTGCAATTCCCTCCAACCAAACTACGGAATTTAATGGCCTTTGGAATTAGGTGGGAAGGGAATTTAAAATCCCTCCAACCAAACGCCCTGTTAGGTTATTTTACATTTTAATCTAAACAGCTAATTTTTTTAAATACTCCCTCCGTCTCATTTTATCAGTCTTACTTTCCTTTTTAGTTTGACCCAAAATATTGTCATCTTTCTAAAATTGAACATAACTATCACTCTACATTCTCCAATTTACCCTTTGACTTTTCAAATTTCTAGAGGTAATAGTACAATTGTACTTTGTACAAATAACACCTACTTTTGAGGGACAAAATTGGAAAGTTAGTCACATTTGTTATGTTGTTATGTTGTATTAAAAACGTGCAAAAAGCTAATGAGACATTCAATTAGGGACGAAGGGAGTATCTTTTTATCAACCGTTGATATAATTCGCTGATCAAATTCGTTAATATAATCCGCTAACGCTAACCGCTAACTGTTGATTGTCAAACAAGGACATTGCGAGGTAGTTCTCACTTCAATTTGTTGTGTGATTTGAATACTCTCTTTGTCAACAAATCCCTCAAGTAGTTAATGTCATTGGCTTTATTAATTATGTTTTTTTTTTTTAATTTTTTCATGGCATCTTTTTTGTATTATAACTTTGATATTTAATTAAAAAATAGTGCAAAAAAAAAAAAGATAATAGACAATGTAGTGACTATAATCCATTGATAAATTTGAATGTAAAGAATTTTTACATTGGAGAAATATAAAGACAATATAACTAATAAAATTATTTCTCTTAATTAATTTATTGATAATGAATAATTTTTTTAAAAAAAGACATTGTATGGACAATGTAACGAATATAATCAATTGATGGATTTGAATGTAAAGAATTTTTATATTGGAGAAAAATAAATACAATATAACTAATGAAATTATTTCTCTTATTTAATTTATTGATAATGGATAATTTTTTTTTTTTTTGAATAAAGACATTGTAGACACATAATTCTAAATTAAAGAAATGCATATGTATTATTTTTTGTTGTAGCTACTAAATTATTATTTAATTTAATAAGAGTAAAATAGAGTACTAATTATGTCAACTTTGACTTTGATTGGAATGGAGTTCGAACCTAAGACCTTTCTTATTGAAATCAATAAGTTAACGGTGAACTAACAGAAATTAACGAAAAAGTTAACGGATAATCATATTCATTAAGGATAAATTATGAAATCTTAAAGAAAAATCAAAATCTGATCAATCTGAGCCATTCATTTGATTAAAAAATTTGACTGCCATTTTTTCTACCTATTATTGGCCTAACTCTCTTGCGCTCTTATTAATATAGTAGATAAAGCCGTAATTTAAAGTCTAGTACTTGTTCTTCATTATTAGAAAAGCTATAAATAATAAGTTGAGCAAAAATAAACAACAAGTCAAGATGGCCGAGTGGTCTAAGGCGCCAGACTCAAGGTTTGGTCTTCGTGAGAGGGCGTGGGTTCAAATCCCACTTCTGACAATTTACTTTAAAAAGTCTGGCTACTTGTTTTCCATTATTAGAAAAGCTTTCGTTCAAAATATATAAAGAATAAGTTGAGCAAAAACAAACAACAAGTCAGGATGGCCGAGTGGTCTAAGACGCCAGACTCAAATTTTGGTTTTCATGAGAAGGTGTGGGTTCAAATCCTACTTCTGATAATTTGTTTTAATTTCGTCCTTGGTTGGCTTCTTTTCCTTACTTTTCCCATGCTAGTTGATACAGGAATATTAAGCTAGTAATATTTTTCTAAGAGAAGAAGACTTTTGCAGAATTTTAAGAATTCAATATTTTTTTAATTAACTGAACATTGAAATAAAATTATAAACATATTCTTTCAACTAACAAAATAATGGAATACGAATTTTATTCTATCCCTTATTGATTACATCTTATAACGTAAATTTAAATTCTATCAAATTTCATTTTGTGAGCAAAATATGGTACAAGTGTTATTTAAAAAAAAAAATAGATGCTAAGTGAAGAGGTGTTGCATGTGCTGAGCAAAAATTAGAATTTAAAGATTTAATTAACCTCGTTAAGCTTAATACTAATCATAATTTTAAATAATGTATTTTATCATTTTATAGAGAGATAGTGTCCATGTAATGTACTCCATAATTGCTCTTAGGTTTCTTGTCATTTGGAACTAAAAAACGGAATAATTATTTTATTAGTTAAGAGTCGAAGGACATTTTATGAGCATGACCGAGAAATAAAAGTAAGAGTTATGCTACATATTTCTCCTAAAATTTTATTTTGTATTGTTTTAGGGGACTAGCTTAAGTGGTAGATCACTTGATTTAAAGTCATCACTCAAGTCTCAAAGAGAGGGTTTGACTTTCACCAACATCATCTTGGAGGAGTTTGAGCTATTGCGCTCTCTATTTTGACAGCTAATTTATGACACCTAATAATTATAAATTACAGAAAAATATTAAGAAATTTTTTTGGAGAATATAGCATTTTACTAAAAGTAATTCAATTTTTGCTAAGAGTAAGCAGTACTTAAAATAAAATGAATGAATACTCTTGTAAGATGATATAAGTTTTGAATGTAAAACAATGATGTATACTAATTCACTATAACTCAACCCAATTTTACAATAAAGATCCACCAACAAATAACAAAGAAAAAACACAATCAATATCAAATCTTTCTTTTGTTATCTAAATACAAAACTAATCACATCCGCACATCATTTCATCTATAGAGCAATCCACTACTCAAGAAATTCCAGGCACAAATTAGAACCACCAGGCACCACCCACTGACTTTACCATCTTCATTGTCAGTCACTGCTTCCAAGTTCCAGCTAGACACAGCATTGGATTTGATCAAATCGAACGACAGGGCTACAAACAGAATACCTATCAATGTACAAATCACACGAGATTTCATTTATCAAAAGAAAATTGCATGGATTTGGCATTACAATACAGCTCTGCAAAAGGGATGTTAGTACCTTGCAAAAGAAACTTCAAAGTTCATCATGCATATGTTGTTCCAAGGGTACATTCAACATAGGAACGGCATTCTGTTGGATCTGGACAATGTTAGCACCATCTCCTCCAGCCCTAGGTACAATCTCCACTTGCCCCGCCATGCCACTCTTTACGGCTTCCATTACCTTCCGCTGTAACTTGAGTAGCCCAATACGCTTTGAAACAACATAAAGAACTGCCAATGCGAAAAGAAGAAACCCAACAACAAGTATCACCCTGCACATAAGAACACAACTTAGAAACTCGAATGGATAACGGAAGTTAATTAAGTAAAAGTGATTACTCATGTATACCTATCAATAACATCCTGACGTTGCATTGTGGAGAGAAGGTTTCGGGTTCGCATCAGCAATGAGCGATGGCCCTTGTATTCGCTTTCAGCTTTTCTCAATACTCCTGTTGATTCCTCTGCAGTACCCAAACCATGTGAGTTGTTATCTAACCCAATCAAAAATCTTTTGCTCCCATAAAACATTGAGGTGTAAATTTGACATCATGTTTGATTTACTTGTCAATACAAAAAATTGAATACAGAGAAAGATACATAAATCTTTCTAGAACTCCATTGGTCACATCTGAATTCAGATCATACCAGAAAGTAAAGCTTCAATATAGGTGCAAATGGCACCATCTGGATCCACATTGAGCAGCACAGAGTAGATTTTTTAATATAATGCAATTTATAACGTGTCCAACTTACCATTGCTTGAACTAAGCTAATAGTGTCAATGGCAATAATCATTCTCTCATGTGCACTTCTTTATTTTCTTTTCAACAGTAGACAATAGTACCAGTATGTCTGACCAAAAAAACCACACACACATACTCCTTCGGAAGACTTCCTCTAACAGATATATATACCCATTCATTGCACTAGACAAATGAGCAGAATATCGGACAAGGATTATATCATTGTAAATTTATTACACTATCTCCCTTCCTAAAAACGCAACATTGGCACCCCTTTAATTGCCCGTCATTTTTGTGGCTGATAAAGGGTAAAAATCTGAATCTTCACTAACGAAGTTAAATTTCATTATTAACTATTTTGTTTTATAATTTATAGAGTAACAAAATCCTCCCTCCCCACCCCTCTGCTTTTTTTATTTGTAATTTTTTACCCTGTTCTTAAGAAGAAAAATGCCCACTACACTAAATGAAGCAAGATATGCAAATGACAAACAAATGACAAGAACTTATCTGAAGAATGAGATCCTATATAGAAATGAAAGATATATACCAAAAGTCATGAGAGTACTTGCACTTCTTTCAACCTCCTGAAACATAAATAACAATCACAAAACAAAATTAGGTAAATGTTTCATAAAAAAAAATGAAAGGGATAATCTCAGTAGGAAAAATAGCCAAGGACAAGATAATAACCTGAATCATCATCTGGCGAGTGCGGCGCAGACTCTCTGTGATGCTTTCAGCTGCAGATGTCATTCCAGCTTTTGTCCTGACACATAATCCACATATTATGATTCAGTTAATTCAACTAATATCATTGTAAGACTACATAAAACCACATAAGGACCATATGAGTACTGAATATATATTAAAAATGCAGAGTGCATAATACATAGTACATACTGTAGGTTACGCCTCCGAATGGTTGATTCTCCTCCACCTCCCAGAAGCAATTCTCTCTAAATGTAATCTTGTTTAGTTAGACAAACTTCTCTAATAAATTGCCTCAAGTGAAAATAAATGACATCATCTCACACAAAAAATAAAAGGAAAAAAAACAGAAAGGTAGCATCACCTACCCAAAATATTCTGAAATGATCATGGAGGGAAATTCAAGAACTATCCGATTTATTTTCCAAAAAAAAAAAAAAAAAAAGGAAGCTATTAAGCTCCATAATATTGAATCTGCAAATAAGAGAAAAGCATTACCTCTTCTTGTGCAGCTTTCCTCATATTAACCTTGGCTTGCAAATTAGCATTTCTGAGACTCAACCTCAAGCTAAATAATTCAGAAAAGTTTTAAAAATCAAGTTAAGTAAGCATTAGAAGAAGCATGACACAAATAAAATAACTCTTTTATCTTCCTGCATATGCTATTCTAGCTTCTATAGCATTAGAAGAAAATATAACAAGAGAACCCAATATTTATTAATTGCCCAGACACACTTTTCATCAGATCATGTTTCCTATCCAGGATGCGAAAGCAAGTTTCAATAGGTACTGTATACCATGCAATTCACTAGTCACTTTGAGAGAGTCACCTTCAATGTGACTAGCATTTTCAGTTTTTGAAAACTGGAAACAAGAGTTACTATTCACCAAGTTTAGCAATCACATAATGGGTTTACAGCACAGTTATATCTGTAGACACTTAAATTTTGATAAATATTGATAATTTATCAATATTAGTATATTTGAATATATTTAAAATATTTTGGATAATATTGATATTATCTAATTTGTTTAATTAAATAATATCAAAAGAGTTTGAGCTTATCAAAACACTTTTATCCTACAACTATAAATAGGAGCTTTCATTTCTATGTAAACAGACATCCTAGGAAAAATCATAGAAAGAACTCAGAGATCACGATAAAAATGTGATCCTGAAAGTAAAAGCCCCTCCTCCTCCATATGTTGATGCCTATCGATCCAAACCTCCATTGAAGATCAAGCCATTTGAACCCGGAGGCCCTTCAAGAAGAACAAGCTATATATACAAGCCCTTCTTTGAAGATTAAGCCACTTGAAACCCGGAGGCCCTTCAATGGTGGAGTGTTCAAGACATCCAATTGAAGAATCAGAGGATCATTCAGAGACTTGTACCAACACTGCATTGATACTTGACATGTAACCCAGAATTTTGAATATTAAAATATTTTATTCAATTTTCTTTGTTCACAAATTGGCACGCCCAGTGGGACAGCTCTGCCTCTCATCTCTTCATAGGCACTTTCAACCGATATGGGGACAAACCCTGTATGAAATTTGAAACGGAGGAAGCTAAATGATACTCCTTGGCACGAGTTTAAACAGCCTTATATTCGGACTCCTTGGCACGAGTTTAAACGGCCTCATATCTTTCAAGGCTCCTTGGCACGAGTTGAAACAGCCTTATATCTTTAAGTTGTAGTGTCGAGACTTTCTTGCACTACATACTTTCGAGTGTTATATGCTCTCAAGTGGTGTACAAGCAAGTCTCGAGGGGGCATTTGTAGACACTTAAATTTTGATAAATATTGATTATTTATCAATATTAATATATTTGAATATATTTAAAATATTTTGGATAATATTGATATTATCTAATTTAGATAATATCAAAAGAGTTTGAGCTTATCAAAACTCTTTTATCCTACAGCTATAAATAGGAGCTCTCATTTCTATGTAAACAGACATCCTAGGAAAAATCATAGAAAGAACTCAGAGATCACGATAAAAATGTGATCCTGAAAGTAAAAGCCCCTCCTCCTCCATATGTTGATGTCTGTCGATCCAAACCTCCATTGAAGATCAAGCCATTTGAACCCGAAGGCCCTTCAAGAAGAACAAGCTATATATACAAGCCCTTCTTTGAAGATTAAGCCACTTGAAACCCGGAGGCCCTTCAATGGTGGAGTGTTCAAGGCATCCAATTGAAGAATCAGAGGATCATTCAGAGACTTGTACCAACACCGCATTGATACTTGACATGTAACCCAGAATTTTGAATATTAAAATATTTTATTCAATTTTCTTTGTTCACAATATCCCTGGATTTTTTAAAATCAACTCATTAACCTTTAAACCACTTTTCATTTCCTTTTCTTTTCTAATTGAAATAGAATGATTGGCCTTTAACACCACATTCTTGTCCTAGTAATCTGTAAAATACAACAAAGAGAAAAACAAAAAAAACAAAAAAAAAAAACAAAAACAAAAAAAATGCAAAATTCAAATTGTTAAACTAAATAAAAAGTATTCATAATATGTCCAGTCAATTAGCAATAACTCAATAAGTGCGTCCCCAGCAATTATATTTCCCAACTTTTTTAAGTCTTCGGATCTATCAATTAACCAAAAACATGTAGACTCTCCAGATTTTATCAATTAGTTCTTCACAAACTTTTGATGAATTAGCAATGAATTCTTCTTCTTCCAAGCAATCTCATTCCCAGTTTTCTAATTCTACGAATAAGTCATCAGAACAAAAAAAAAAAAAAAAAAAAAAAAAAAAACTATGTGAATACCTATGAATAAGCTTTTTCCAAGATTCTGCCAAAAACTGGGCATCCTGGACCTGATCATCAGTGGGCAGCTGTGGTGCCAAGAGATCAAGCTTGAATTGGAGTGATTGGAGCAGATTTAAACTGTCTTGTGCAAGGCCATTCAGTCTGGGGAGCGAACTCTTCTCTTCTGCTGTTGCTGAGGATAATCCTACTTTATTTTTTCCGTAATCTTGGATGGAATTGATGTGATTCTCTGCTTTTTTGCTTGTTTCCTCAAACTCTTTCTTCACCTTCTCCACCTCCTCCACCACCTCATCCATTGGTATTCGAGTCAAGTTTAACCACTTTCTGTGAGGAGATTTTTGGAAGTTACATGAGGCATAGGAGTGTAATTGAGCTAAGCCAAGCTCAAATAGTCAAAAGCCAAAGCTCAACTGAGCTTTATTTTTTGAGCTTGAGCTAGAGCTAGAATTGAAAATTTATCTTTCAATATTTTACACAAAAGTTGTAATAATAAGCATTGTATAACCAAATAAATAGATGCTTCCAACAAATACAATTAAATGAACACAACCAATACAAAACCATACCAATTAAACCATCAACAACATGAAAGTTTCCAATTTATCAAAATCAAAATGGAAATACTGGCATAAGTTAGTGTTATGTGCTCCCGTCATGGGCAAGAAAACATAAGGAAAAAGAAAGAAAGAATAATAGTTGGAACAGGAAAAGAATAAAACACTGGGTTTGCTTGAGACCCAAAACTCCCTTGGACCCTTTTTGGGATTGAATTTCTGTTCCTCAGAGCATGTATCAGTCAGTTTCAAGAATATTTCTATATAAATCTGAAAACTGAACCCAATATAGGTTGTGTGTGTGAGAGAGACAAAATTTGCTACAATTGAATGATAACCTTTCTGCAAGCCACTTTTACTGTTATAATATTGTACTTAACAAAAGTCCTTACAGAAAGGACGTTTTAACTAACTTATCTTACTGATTGAAGTGATGTAGTTGATTTAAGAACTCGTGTACAATACAGCTTGTATATTTGTAGATAGAATTGCTTAAGATGCTGTGTATATGAATCGTATTGCCAATCCAGTGAGATTAACCGGATCCCAATTTCAATGCTTCCCCGTTTTTCAGTTTCGATAATGCTTTAGCGAGTTTGGATGTGGATGTGGATGATGGTAGGGATGGAAAGAGGCTAGGCCGAGCCGGGCTTTAGAAATTGAAATCTAAGGCCTGAGCCTGTATATAGGCTTTTTGTTAGGCTCAAGCCTGAGCCTACAAGTGGTCTGGCCTGGCATGAAGCTTTTTTAAAAGGGTATTTAATATGAGGGTCATTAAAAAGGCTTCAAATTAAGTCCTAAATAGGCTTTGAGCGCCTTTTTACGGCATACGTATTTGTAAAAAGAATTAAAAATATACCTAATACAGTAATACAAAACTACAGTAATATATAAGCATATCACCACAAATCTATGAATTACATTACAAAATTAAAATCAATCAATAACCAGTTAACCACAAAACTAGGTTCATACTTCTTCATACAAAAACCCAACAGTTATGAAGTTATGAATATTATACCAATTCATAAACAAGGTAACATACTAACATCTAAGTATCTATCATTGAATATTTGGATATTATAACAATAAGAACCAAAGCTTCATCCTACAACAGTTACACCATGGACCCGAATCCACCCACTAGGTGGACCCGGGTCTAAAGTACACAATTTACATTCTGAATGTTCAATTTGAATTGTGAACATTTAGTAGGTAAATGGTAAATATTCGGTATGTAAATTGGCCATTTTTAGACACTCCACATAATAATTTGCCTTCATCGTAGCCGTAGATCAGAACCCGCAGCTGCCACCACAGGCCGCAACCCTCAGCAGCCACCGCAGGCCGCAGCAACAGCCGCAAGTCGTAGCCCGAAGCAGCAGCTGCAGGCCGCAAAAGGCACCGCCGGGTAGCGACCTACGTACCTACACTGTCTGGGCGTCTGACTATCTATCAAACTACTCGCTAACTATAAGAGTAGAAGGCATACCTGTCATTAACTCACTGCAGGTGTGTCGCCAATCGCCAATCGCCAATGCCGATCGCCGCCTGCCGCCCGTCGCTAGTCGAACGCTCGGAGAGTCAGAGTTTCGCCCGTCGCCAATTGAACGCAGTAGAAGTGGAGAACCAATTAAAATGGGGGATTTTGGGGGTTAGGGTTTGATAATTGATATGTATAATTGGGAATATAATCAATATAATATGGAGGTTAACTCTCAGGTCTTCTTGTTCACCGGTTCTCAATAGATTCCGGGACAGGCTATGCAGCTATCGCCCTGCGTAGCTGTTTGTCGCTGCACTCAAATATATCAATATATATATTGTAAATATAACGATATTATTTGTATAAAATAAAATAAAATAAAATAAAATGTAATATATAATACTTATTGAAATATGCGATGAGATCTGAACCGTTGATCAAATCTAGATTAACGGCTCAAATCAATGAAAATTATAAAACAAAAATAAATAAATAAATAAAAAATGCGCTTCTTAGAAATACAAAAGTTAAGTGTTAAAATAATATACTTTAAGTGTTATAATGCATCTTAAGTGTTAAAATGATACAATTTAAGTGTTAAAATTGCGCACCTTAAGTGTTAAAATGACACACTTTTAACTTTGAAAATACACATCTTAAGTTTTAACAATAACGCGCCTTAAAAATTTAAAAAAAAAAAAAAAAAAAAAAAAAAAAAAAAAGAACTTGCGCACCTTAAGCTTTACAACAATACGCAAAATTACCATATTGTCATCGTATTTTTTTTTTTTGAATCAGTGTTCATTTTGGGCGGTTGATTTTGGCCAGATCAATAGTTATGATTAAGCTGCATATTTTACCTGGAGACCCCCTTCGCATTTGATCTCTATTATGTGTGTGTGTACATATACAATACAATACCTAATAAGAGCAAATAAAGTTAGGCGCATAACGGGAATAAAAAAATATTTGTGTAATTGTTTGTTGAAATGAATTGTTCCCATTATTTTGATTTTAGTTTTCCTACTTTATCCTCTATTATATCATTTACTTTTTCTAAATACTCATGCATTCCGTTATTGTAAACTTTAGTGACAGAATATTTCGTTAACAATTTATTATTCGTAACTTACTCATTGACTTTCATAAGGAAGGTCTTAGATTCGAACCACATCCCAATCAAAATTGACATAATTGTTAAACATATACTATGAATATATTAGAGTGTATTAAAAAAATACAATATAACAGCCGATGTGATTGCTCACTCTCTAGCTAGAGCTTCTTGCTCGTATACTGGTCGAGAGGTGTGGGATGCAGATATGCCTCATTGTACTCATGATTTGATTTTGCAATAATAGCTCTGATAAGGATTATTCCCCGAATATACCTCCCTATATATTTTGTGCATCTGTTCGGTGTTCAGGCCAGGATCAAGTGTTCATTAAAAAATATTTTTCCTGAAGGGTCATGCCTACACCTATATAAAGGGTTCATTCCATAGACACAAGGGGGCACTCTTTATTTTCTTTCAAATCATCCATGTTATACTCTTCAAGCTTGCAGAAAGTATCAGCACGCCCCTACAGTCCCTCAATTTCTCATCTTCACCATGCTTCATCACCATCGTCTTCCTCATCAAGCTCAACATCATCATCTTCATTATCAAATATCATGTGATGGGATAAATCGAAAGAGTGTTGATGTTAATAATCTTACTTAATTATTTTATTTTTAATAGTATAGAAACTAAAAGGGAGAAGTGTCAAATAGACCCATGTACTATTGTCAAGTGCTCAATTTCCACCATGAACTAAATTAAAGGTTAATTAACCACACTTACCTACTAAATTTGTTCAATTAGCTTTTTTTGCAGGTAATTGACTTTTTTTTTGGAGGTTACCAATTCAATTATTAAAAAAAAAAAGGAAAAATGGTCAATAATAAATCATCATCTTCCTTAACCGTCTCTGCTCATCATCTTCCTCAATGATCTCCTAGCTCATCGATCTCTTCATCAAATTCGAATCATGCCGGCACTGGAGTTTGGTGGCACCGCCTTCTTTATTCGAAAAAAGCAACGCGGTGGTCACATCCAAAGAAGGCGAAGGGGCAGTCACCTTCTTCAGATCTGAAGAAGGTTACACGACAGCTGCCTTCTTCTGTCTAGAGAAGACAAAACGGTCGTCGCCTCACAGCAATGGTGCTATGCGGCGAAGATGCGTAGAGTTTCACTTTGGAGAGGGCATTTACAACCAGTCATGGAGTTGAGATAAGTGAACTTGGAGAGCAAAATCATGTTCACGACGGTAGAATCTTGTAGTCTTCTGGCATTGCTGATTTTCCCATCAAAGGCACTTACAATCCCTTTTCTCGTTGGGTCTATAAATTCTCTATGATTTACTAATTTCTGATGTATATTTATTCAAGAAACTTGCTGGAGTTTCTATTTTACCATATTCAAATTTGCATATAATTAAAAAATGCTAATGAATAATAGAGTAAAAGGTAAAATATTTGTGTCTTGAATAGAAAATACATATTGAAGAAGATGTTCAACAATGGTTAGCGGCGGCAATATGGCACCCAGCGGTGGTCCGTGGTCACCGGTCGACGGTGATGATCTCAAGACCGGAGAAGTTTTATACGAAGCATACAATAATTTTTGATTTTACTTTAAAATAATAATAAAAATATCACATGTAAGCAAGGTTTGCCATGTCATCCTATTTTTACCGGTAACTTGTTGGTTACCGGTAAATAGGGTTTAGATGAACAAATTTAACTCGTAGATGGTTCTATTTGACACTTAATTTAGTTCGTGGTGGAAATTGAGCACTTCGCAATAATAGATGGGCCTATTTGACACTTGTGCCAAACTAAAATGACCAATTTTATTGTACAAGGATAGAAGGACTAAATAATGCTTCATATTCCATATTTTACAATAGCATAGAGACTAATTGATACTTAAACTAAACCATTTGCTACATTATTCATTTTACAATAGCATAGAGACTAATTGATACTTAAACTAAACCATTTGTTACATTATTCATTTTACAATAGCATAGAGACTAATTGATACTTAAACTAAACCATTTGCTACATTATTCTTTTCAAAAGGTTGAACACTTGAACCACAGAGGCTAGACCTCATTTTGATTTGAGAGGTTGTTCCTACACTGCCGCTGGTGAGAATCGATCCTGGTCATTTTTTCTAAACTTCACTTCTATGACCAATTGGGCTGCTCATGCGGGCCCATTTGTTACATTATTTTAAAAATGCTTGGTTGACTTCAATTCAAATGATATATTGTCTTAAGATATTGAATAAATAATTTAATCACAAAATAATATTATACTACATCATAAAATTAATATAAATTTTCGTCCCGACTACAGTGATGTATCTACATTTAGTCTTACCATTTAAATTTGACAACTAATAGTTCTAAGTTGGAAAAAACAAAAACAAAAACAAAAACAAAATTAGAGTCAATGACACAATGAAATCTATATATCTATATATCTATATATATATATATATATATATATATATATATAAAAGTAAAATCCTCCAAACTAATTTTCCCCCCAAAACTTAAGGGTATTTATGTAAATTCATATATATTCAAGTCATGGAAAGAATAATAAATATTGGTCCGTGTGAACCTCAATAGAGATATATAATTATTTAAGTAATAATTAACTTATTTGGTAAATGCATTGCTCCGTTTGTTAACAAATATTCAAAGCTGTCATTAAAAAATATTTTTGAGTGATATTATTCACAATTTGGTTCACAATATTAAAGATTTTACCTTTCTTGAGATCTCTTACCATTTTATAATTTCAATATTAAACCCTTTTGATCTCATCCATTGTGTATAAATACACCTTATATGACCATACACAACCCCCACTAAGATTAATTATTTCATTGATTTTTGCTAATCATCCTGTGATCTTCCACAGTTGAGGTTGATATGTGATTTGCACGGGTGGGGTTTTCATTATCTTAGTTTCTTTTATTTTTTATTTTTTTTTGGGTTTTGTTTTTTTTTCATTTTTTTGTATTTTCTGATTTTTAAACAACAAAAGTGGTTCGTAAGAAAAAATGTTGATATATTCTTTCTTTTTTTGTCTATTTTTGTGGAGAAGATACAGATCTAGAAAGACTGATCGAGAAGCAATAGACTTCTAATCATCATGTGATCTTCCACAGTTGAGGTTGATACGTGATTTGCATTGGTGAGGTTTTCATCATCTTAGTTTCTTTTATTTTTTCTTCTTTTTGGGTTTTGTTTTGTTTTTATTTTTTTGGATTTATGGTTTTTAAACAACAAAAGTGGTTCATAAGAAAAAATGTTGATATATATATTTTTTTACGTGATTTGAAATACTAAATCCTTTTGATCTCATCCATTGTGTATAAATACACCTTATATGACCATACACAACCCCAACTAAGGTTAATTATTTCATTGATTTTTGCTAATCATCTTGTGATCCTCTACAGTTGAGGTTGATACGTGATTTGCATCTTAGTTTCTTTTATTTTTTCTTCTTTTTGGGTTTTGTTTTGTTTTTATTTTTTTGTATTTTATGGTTTTTAAACAACAAAAGTGGTTCATAAGAAAAAATGTTGATATATATATATATATATATATATATATATATATATATATATATATATATATATATATATATATATATATATATATATATATATATATATATATATTTATGTGATTTGCAATACTAAACCCTTTTGATCTCATCCATTGTGTATAAATACACCTTATATGACCATACACAACCCCAACTAAGGTTAATTATTTCATTGATTTTTGCTAATCATCCTGTGATCTTCCACAGTTGAGGTTGATACGTGATTTGCACGGGTGAGGTTTTCATTATCTTAGTTTCTTTTATTTTTTTTCTTTTTGGGTTTTGTTTTGTTTTTATATTTTTGTATTTTCTGATTTTTAAACAACAAAAGTGGTTCGTAAGAAAAAATGTTGATATATATATATATATTTTTGTCTATTTTTTGTGGAGAAGATACGAATCTAGAAAGACTGATCGGGAAGCAATAGACTTCTAATCATTCTGTGATCTTCCACAGTTGAGGTTGATATGTGATTTGCATGGGTGAGATTTTCATCATCTTAGTTTCTT